GTGTAACCATTGAACAGACACTTGGGAGGACAATGAAAACAAGTTGCCAGTTGTGACCCAGCAACTCAACAATAGGTCTGTATTATCTCAGTTGATAGACCTCTTTAAAGCTTTTCCCAAAATGCTTTCACTAATATGAGAGCAGCATGTTGCCTTCTGTGACTCAAGTATGAAACATGACAACAAAGATACTGAAAGGTTCATTGTCTGGCTCAAGTTTCACTCTTTCTGACAAGCTGCTTTCACTGTCAGAGGGAATGAACATTCAGAAACTGTAAAGTGCAGTGACTCAATACAGTACAACATTTATATGATGGAAAGATGTGGCCATCATTGTTCCCCATTTATCCAGTGCAGATAGGATCCCAACCAGCTATTTCACTGCATTTTTGTGTAATTGAAAGTATTGTGGAATTATCATTGTATTTTGCCTGTCAACTAACACTAAGACTAACAGGACATTTGGGTGACCTATCAATCAGGAAAAGATATCCTTGATCCCTCTTCTGGAAACACAGTCCATTTATGTGAATTTTCTCATACCAATGATGGTGCTTATTCAATTTACCATGTGAGGTGGCTTTAGTCTGAAACAGTCCAAGACAAATGAGTGATGCATGAAATGTTTTAAAAGTCACAAATGACAACAGATTGCTGTAGTATTTGATGGGTACAACATGGTCAGCACTTCTAAGCAGCAGTTCTAAAACTGTGCTCTGCATCCCACACTCCTCCTGCCAAGCGCGGTCTACAGGGCTTCTCTGCTACAACCTATGGGGCCTCACCACCAGCTCAGACTGCAAAGCCTCTATGTACAGTGTGCGTGTTTTTCAATTAGTTCACACAAACGTTCTCCATCCAGCAACCAACGGCCCAGCCATCTGTCAAATTTTACAAGGCAATGCAGCCCCTTGGAGTTTCTTGGAGTTCCACGAGAAACTTTTCCTTCAAAAAGGGCTCTGCTGCTTTAAAAGTTGGAGAGCACTTGCTATAAGTTCAAGTTCAAGTTCACTTTATTATGGTCAATGACCAGCTCATGAGAAGAGGGACACCGTCCCACACAAACACATCAGGTCTAAGGGTTGTGAGATTGAAAACTTGAAAACTTCAATACTTTAAAACTCTAAAACTTTAAAACAAGTGCATTATTTCCAGAACATCAACACAAGAGTATATCAAAATTAATTGATTTAAAAGGTGGGGGGGGGTCTGAAGGGAGGGAATTGGGGTGCTCATGTACCACAGGGAAGGGAAGTCCAGTCAGACAGAGGCGGGAGCAACATCAATTGCTATAATTAAAAGACTATAATCCCAATTTTCTGCTGGTATGAAATTTTGACTTGTACTAGCCGAGTTCGTATCTGAAAGAAGCAGGGAAATGTAAAATTGTCCAGAGCTTCCTGGGTGTTTGAGTAGCCATGGTGTAATGAGAGGGGATTGAATATCTCTATGGAATATGCACTGAAGAAGCACATGTTCTATCGTCTCTGTATGTCCTGAGTCACAAGGACACAGTCTCTCAGCGTATGGGGTCTTCCGGTAACAACCTTCCAATACAGATGGGAGTGTATGGCAAGAGTGTGTGCCAGAGTGAAGGCCCTCCAATGGCTGGAAACCTCTAGCATTGTTAGATATTTCATAGGGGAGGTAAAAAAAAAAACCTACTGACTCCATCGATAATAAAGGATGGGGAATTGGCTAAGTCTAATTGGTGCTCAATGTCAGGTATTCGTTGTTTAATCAGAGATTTGGATTGGTTGTAGCCCATACTGGTTAGCAGTCCTGGAGAGAAACCTAAGGATGAAATTTTGGCTGCTATTGCAACTGGACTGAAAGTCATCTGACACAGTAAGAAGTGCAAGGCCAATGGTAGAGAGGGATAGTCTAAGGCAATAATTCAGTATAACCATCCACACCCTGTCCTCAATTCTCAGGAAGCCTGTCTCCAGATGTAGGGTGGCATTGGAGAAACACATTCAGACCTGGAGGGCTGATCTTAAGAATTTGGATTGTACAGGGTGCAACAGCATGACTTCCTTTTTTTCAAAACTTAATGAAAGCATAACTTCCTTTTTCCGAAACTTAATAAAACCCATTGTATGAATCAGATTTTTTTTATATAATGTAAGCACATACCTAAAGTTTTGTTTTACGTAGTTTTGAAGATTAAATTAGGTAGGTGATGTCCTCCATTCTCCATACACTGAGTAAACCGATTTCTGGCGTTTGTCATGACTCTTGCCAGCATAGCAGGCATTATGTTGGCAGATTTCTTCCTGGATGTTGGTCTTCAAATCTTGTAGGGTCCTTGGACGGTTCACATAAACATGGGATTTCAAAAAACCCCATAGAAAAATCAAGACCAACATCCAGGAAGAAATTGCCAACATAATGCCTGCTATGCTGGCAAGAGTCATGACAAACGCCAGAAATCGGTTTACTCAGTGTATGGAGAATGGGGGACGTCACCTACCTAATTTGATCTTCAAAACTATGTAAAACAAAACTTTAGGTATGCCCCTACATTATTAAAAAAATAAAAATTCATACAATGGTTTTTTTTTAAAGTTTTGAAAAAAGGAAGTTATGCTGCTGCACCCTGTACACTCTCCAGTGAGGTAAAGTCAGAAAAGGGGCTTAACTGGGTACTGTATAGGAGTTCTGCAGCTGACTTGGCATCAAATAGTTTGAGTGCTGCTGGTATGTAGTGTCTCCTTCTTGACCTGAGATATTTTAATATAGCAGACAAGCTCCTTTGTGCAATCTCAGCCACATAGTCTCCATGGGCTTTTCTGCTCCTGGAGGAATGGAGGACTATCCCCAGCTATTTGAAGCAGGGAACCTGCTCGATTTTGTTCCCATCTAGATTCCAGATGTGAAGCTTGGGTTTTTCGACAAACACCATGATTTTAGTTTTTGGATAGAGTTGCAACTGGTTCACATTACAATATTGTGCCAGAGCTCTCAATGCTTTTTTTAGTCCAATTGACATTCTTGAGATTAGAGCATCTACTCTCTTGGTTCAAGGCATATTGTGTGCATCATTGATAGATGATAGGGGTTGTGTGCATCATTGTGTGCATATTGTGTGCATCATTGATAGATGATAGGGGTTGTAGTTGTTTTGCTCTGCCTTGAACCAAGGGAAGCAAAGTGAACCTCACTTTAAGCAAACATGACAGTTATATAGAACCCCACTAATTATGACAGTGCATTTTTCATGGCCAAACAATATTCTGCTTTAAGAGGTGATGAGACTGTTGGAGAAAAGGCCAATCTGTTTTTACTCTTTCACCAGACACCTTGGACCCTTCCTTGTCCTTTGATGTACTAGTGGGTTAATACTGGAATATACCTCCTGAGAAATGCAGCCCAAGCCTTGCTTGGAATTACAGATCAAGACCAAATTCAACTTTGCTGGGCTCAAATTCACAGAGATCATAATGGGATACTTGACACTAGAAACCAATTTTTTCCTATTTCTCTACTCATGCAATGGCTGCTATTTTCCCAAGACAGTAACTCTTGCCAAGAAGGAATTGTAAGCTTCAGTGTGTTGCTCCGATGAAGAAGCTACTATTATCTCTTCAGAATGAAACTCTAATTTTGGTAGAAATCACCAAAGAAGAATTCAAAGAAGTAGCCAACACCTGTAGAGAAAAGGTCCAGGCGGCTAAAGCACAAAACGAGCTCAGGCTTGCCAGGGACATTAAAAACAATAAAAGGGCTTCTTTTCTTATGTCAGTAGAAAAAGGAAAAACAAGGAGGCGATAGGGCCTCTTCAAGGAGAAGATGGGGCAATGCTGACGGGGTAGGGAAAAGGCAGAACTACTTAATGCCTTCTTTGCCTCGGTCTTCTCACAAAAAAGTCATCTTCAACCTCAGCAAGATGGAGTGGATGAGGGATTAGAGGACATCCAACCCCAAATTAGGAAACAAGTCATCCAGGAATACCTGGCCGCTCTAAATGAGTTCAAGTCCCCAGGGCCAGATCAACTACACCAAAGAGTACTGAAGGAACTAGAGGAAGTCATTTCGGAACCATTGGCAATCATCTTTGAGAGTTCTTGGAGAACGGGAGAAGTTCCAGCAGATTGGAGGAGGGCCAATGTGGTCCCAATCTTCAAGAAGGGAAAAAAGGATGACCCAAACAATTACCGTCCGGTCAGCCTCACGTCGATACCAGGCAAGATTCTGGAAAAGATTGTCAAGGAAGTGGTCTGCAAACACTTAGAAACAAATGTGGTCATCGCTAATAGTCAGCATGGATTTATCAAAAACAAGTCATGCCAGACTAATCTGATCTCTTTTTTCAATAGAGTTACAAGCTAGGTAGATGCGGGGAATGCTGTGGATGTAGCGTACCTGGATTTCAGTCAGGCCATCGACATGGTCCCCCATGACCTTCGACAAGGTCCCCCATGAGGTCTCTTCCAACTCTTTGATTCTATGATTCTAAACAGAGACAATGAGTCAAAGACACAACTTTTCTCAGACCCCAGTTGGGCTAGGGCTCAATAGGCCCACCATGGTCACATTATCATATTTTACTGTCTCTAGTTTGTCCCAGACTCACTATAATGGCATCCTGGAGATGAAAAGAACATCTGTGGTTCCCGTTGAGAAAGATATGAGCAAATGATATTGGGTTTTTGTTGTATATTATCCTAAATATCAAGAACTATTACAAAGAGTGCCAAGGAATATTTGCTTATCTGGTCACCACAAGATTAATTGTAAATTCATCTCAGTCTTCTTTGAAGTGTACTGATTCCTGACAGAAACATTATTTGTTCTTCAAAGAAGCAAAGTAGCTGCAGTGATACTTTGAGAACAGATTTAGCTACTCTTGTGCTTTTTGCTACTTCTTCCATATCAGGATGTAGAGATGTAGTAGCAGTGTCATATTAGAGTGTATTGTAATACGATTCTAAAATGTTCTAAAATACAATAAATTATTGTTTTCCATCAGTTTCACTTACTCTTTTGTCTTCTAACAGGGCATGCTGCTAAAGAGAAGTGGCAAGTCGTTAAATAAAGAATGGAAGAAGAAATATGTTACTCTTTGTGATAATGGTGTACTAACGTATCATCCAAGTTTACATGTAAGTATGCATGCATTTCACAGTTATTACATAGCATAGCGCCCCCCCCCCCCCCAATTTCTTGATGTCTTGGTTTTTAGACCTGCTCCTGGGGTTATTTGGGCACTGATTTAGAACATTGCATTGGAAAATTGCATCAGCTCTAGTTTCTTAGATATGATTATCATGATGTTCTGTGGGTGAGCAGATGAAGAGTGGGTTATGGCAGGTGTTCTGTATCTCAAAAACTAAAGATGAAAGAGAAAACTGGTGCAAGTTTTGGAATCAACAGGTCAGATATACCTGCAACAGCTGTAACATTTGAGGCAACTGAAATGTATGCTGACTAGTACTATCATTAAGTCTGATGTTTGATATTTGGCTAGTCACTCATGTTTAGAATTGTCCACACGGTACCACAATTCAGTCTTCTTATCCATTGGGGGAACCAAGGAAGCCATTGACCACAAGGACTACAGAAATTAAGGAAGAAACAGCAAGAACGCCAACACTGGAGCTTTTCTCTGGACATCACCAAAGACAGGGTCATTCATCTGATTCAATTGGAGGACTTCAAGGCCCAGTGCATTAGCCATCCTCAGGACCTGGTCCATGAATGCTTTCAAGTCACCAGTAGGAGAAGGTGAAACTATCTCCAATATCCTAGGTTCACCAGAGCATCAGTGCCGATGTGTTTTTGGATTCAAGCATACACTATCCAATTTTCATTAATTTTTATTCAAGAAAGCAAATTTTGCACATTCAAGAAAACAGTGTCATATATAGCAAAACATATTAAAACACTATCTTCCTCATAGAAACAAAACAATAAAACGTTTTTCTTAATATATAAAATGAAGAAATAACGCTGTCATTTGGCATGCAGCACCATAAAGTTGTATGCAGAAGTTCCTGGTGACCACATGTTGGTTGACAGAAGCCCAAGATGTGGGATGTTCAGATCCTTTTGATCTCTTTTTCCAGTAGCTCTCTTTAGGTTTTTTTTAATTAATTAATTAATTAATTTGCCTAACTGCATTATGGGGTAACTGGTTTTTCAGCTGAAAACCTAGGATTTTTGCTTCTTGGCCTTCTTTGGTATCGACTGAGCAGCTTCGTCTTGCATAGAGTGTTTGCTCTCTGATTTCCTCAATGTAGAGGAAGGAGAGGCAGAGGCCAGGGCATCCTGAGGTGATGTCCCAGATATTTCAGGGATGGGCCTTGAACCCAAGGACCCCAGAAGAGCTGAAGGTGTCAAAGATGTCTTCGAAGGACTGGCCTTTGAACTGGTGGAGCACTTCGAAGAAGAATTTGAAATGTATGCAGAGGATGGCATCAGGATCTCCATGTACAAATGAGATCGCAGCAGGGCGGTACGATCCCTACGGACTTGTGGTGTAAAGGCCTGACAGTGCACACAGGTCTGGACAATGTGCACCTCGCCCAAACATATCAGGCACTTGTGATGTCCATCGTTGTCTGGCATCTTACGATTGCACTGCTTGCAGTGCTTGAAACGTGTCACAGAGGACATCCTTTGTGCCTCATTTGGGTGCATGCAGAAAGCAGGTAAACAATCGAAGTAGAAATGTGAAAATGGGATAGCCAGTTTGTAATCCAGAGCCAAGTTGGTAGAGGTCCGGAAAACGAAAAAATGAATCTAGCCTGCCAGTTGCTCATGAAGCTGCTGCAGCAATAAATGAAAAGGAATTAAGGGGCTCTGGCTTCAACGGGCACATTTATACCATCTCGAGGGTTGACAGGGTTACCATCAAACATTCTGTGCCTAGTGATTCTAAATGGTTCTGTTTGTGTGATATGACCGTTGGACTAGAACTCTGGAAACTAGGGTTCAACTACCAGGTCTGCCACGGAAAACCCTCTGAGAGACCTTGAGCAAGTCACAGTCTCTTAGCCCCAGTGGAAGGAAAAGACAAATCCCCTCCAAATAAATCTTACCAAGAAAACACTGAGATAGGGTTGGCATAGGCTAGAAGCAATGTCAACGTACACAACAATTTTAAAGAGAATTTAAAACAGTGACACAAATAGTTTTTATTAGCCATCTTTATCATTGTTATATATTAATATATTATTAATAATATTATAATTTATTAGCCATCTTTATCATTGTTATATATTAATACATTAATATTATTATTAATATTAATATTATCATTATTATATTATTATTATCATTATTTTGTCTCAATACAGCATATAGAAAAAAAGCCTTTGTGGTGTATTAGTTAGAGTGTTCGACTAGGACACTGGGAGACAAGGGTTCAAATTCGCACGTGGCCATGGAAACCTGCTGGGTGAGCTTGGGAAGTCATGCTCTCTCAGCCTCAGAAGAAGGCAAAGGCAAACCCTGCTCTGATTCTCCTAATGAAACTCCATGATACAATCACTATACGCAGGAAGTTGTTTGAAGATATATAATAACAACCATGAGTAAGACATGAAGAATGCCAATCTAATTATGATATTCATGTATGTGATTGCTTCTTATTGTTTTATTATCTGTTCAGTGCCATTGATGCAGATGATATTTTAAAAGTAAAAGAACCAAAAACAGTATGTCCTACCTAAGGCATATATTATATATCTATATCTATCAGCTCATATATTTTGGACTATATGCCTTTGGCAGGGCCTACTGTTTTTGGTTCTTTTACTTTTACAGTACCATCTATGTCAATGGCATTAAATAGATAACAAAATAATAAATACTCACATACATGAATACATACACAGAGGAAAGAAGTTAATATTAAAATTAACCTGTGAAATACAAGTATAAAACAAACTATTCAGATAAAAATAAAAAATCCAAGGTAATATATAGCAAATTGACAAATACATGTAATCAAACTATAAAAAGTTATAAAATAGCTTTACATTAAAATTCCAAAAACTTTGGAAAATAAGGAGGCTTTTAACTGAAATTTTAAAATAATGAGTGAGTAGTAAGAAAATGTTTAGAGAGGCGTATGGAGCAGCATGTGAAAGCTGGACCAAAGAAAAGAAAACTCTTGATTGGGGGGAAATGCAAATACTAATTATGCAGCTATTTCTAATATAGCACTGTTTTATTCGTTCCCACACTTCTTTGGCACAGTTTACACTAGGTAAGGCAGAATACAAAACTTCTATCTGTACCTTTTTAAAACAGTGTTGTGAAAGTGAAAACTTCAGCAGTTGACATATGAAGGCTCAACCTTGATAGCAGCAAATTAATAAAGGAATGTTGAACATTAATTGAAAAAAATCAATTCCTAAATATTTTCCTTCTACCTATAAATGTATGGTTGTGTTTGCACAAAGGCCAGGTTGAGGTACACTATTTCAGGTTAAATATGCAACTTACATTGTGTTCCAAACCTTGCCAACTTTCCTTCATAAAATATTATAACTATGGGCCTCTATCTGTAAAATTTATTATATTACTAAATCGGACCCGGATTTAGGATATAGAAATACATTTTCTCAGATATCAATGTTTTAAATGAAGTAAATAAAAGAAATGTTTATTTCTAAGAGATGTGGGGAAACCAGAAAGAAGAAGAATGTATTATAGGTTATGTATATCTTATCTGAAATGCTTGGACGAAAAGTGTTTTGGATTGAAACCTACAAGAAAATACTAACAGTTTCCCCTCTTCCTATTCTCCCCTTCTGTCTCAAAGTAGAATGAGGAGGGGGAGTCAGTGCAAACATGAAATAAAATCTACCACTCTGAATATGACTATTTAGTTCCCTGTAAAGGACCACTGTGGCCTGGGCTGCCTCCCGGTAGTGTGCATGGGCTACTGACATGCTTTTCCTCAGCCTGACCTTCATACAAACACATAGTTAGAAGGAACATATTTTACAATTCTTGTCTCAAAATAAAACCTCCAGAAGTATTCTTTCTTAAATGTCAGTGGAGTCTTCGTACCAAGAAAAGACGACAGAAATATTGCGGGAGTTCGTTGTAACAGTTACAAGATATCAGCTGATCCCCTCAATCCTATAGCTATGGTTTTGAAAAACGGGCTCCTTGAAAGGGCTATAAATTTACAAAATAGCAGCAGTTGCCAGCGGAATTGGCTATATGTAAGCAAAGATACACATTTCCTTAAATATAAATGAATCGCATGGGATTTTTTTCTTTTACTTTATGCCCCCCCACTCCCAAATTCCCGGGCCCGTGCCTGCCAGAGTATTTTGTCCCATCTCCAGTCTGGTTTTCCCCTTCTCCTTTCATATTTAACTTGTACCCTAATCCCTGCCAAACTGCAAGGACTTCTTTTCAGCTTTACTCGCTGTTCTTTCACTTCCTCCTTCTGTAACAGTTTACCTCTTTTGCTACCCCTCTTCATTTTATTACTTTGTAATTTTTAACATCCTACAAATATTTTTTTTCTAACTGCTACCTTTGCCCCCTTTCTTACAATTCCTCTTTTTTGACATACTAGCTTTTTCTTATGTCTTATGCATATACAAAAATGAAAATGCTGTGGATGTTTCCTTTTTATGAAAAAGCAAACATATGTTACATTGCATATGTTGCATCAAGATAAAATAGGACTGAGCACTAATCTCCTATTGTTAACTATACATCTCAAGACTTATTCATATTGTGACTAAAGTGCGGTGCTGTCCTTATTTACTCAAAAGCAAGTCTTGTTTTCAATTGGACTTTTATATATTAAAAGGGGGGGGGGAGAATCTGCAAACTAAATTTGTCTCGAACAAGAAAACTCATTTCAAATTATATTCATCTTTATTTTTTGCATGGAAATGCACTAACCAGAGAGAAAGAAACATTGTGAAAATAGCTGCTGCCTCACACTTTATGCCCAGGTTGTGCTTTTCAGCCCATAAGAAGAAGAGAAAGGTGGGATTTAGGGAAATCATCCCCCTCCCCTTGAACACAGCATGCAGCGGCATCTGATGCCTTGCTTCGGTTTCTCTGTGGAGGAGGATTAAAGGGGTGTTGACAAAAGACTCCTCACTCCCCATCCATCCAAGTCTTT